GGGGTTCTAGAGATTCCCTGCTGAGCCAAGCATCACCCCTTTAGATAATGGATTATGGAAAGTGGGGTTTCTAGGGGAGAGCTTGGGGCACCTGGGGCAATAGAGGGCATTGGGAAGATGGCCCAGAAAAGCAACTATTTACCAACTGGTGAGGAAGTGTTTTCATATTGTAGTAACCTGTATAGCCACAACAGTGTTGGCCTGCTGAATACCAGCCCAGATAGGGGTGATTTCATGACAGTACTCCATGTAGCTGCAGAACATCCCAGGCCTTTTTCAAAGCTTTTCTCAGCTAACATACATCCTAGTGGTGATGACGGAGGACAAATGTTCCTTCACTTCCTTGCATGAGATATGGGAAAAGCGAGACAGAGAAAGAAGGGTTTTTCATTTTCTCTGTAGACTTAAGGACATCATTGGTCACGCTGGGAATAGGACACGAGGCTAGTAATGCTGATTCACTCGGAATGGAGACATCTCCTGTCAGACTTAATTCACTGGGAGACTTCTAGTCATTATTTTCATAGGGACTGATAATATTTGCATGGCACACGAGGGGAAAGCTATAAAGAATCTCCATGACATTCTGGTTAGGTCTTAAGAGAAATGAATGTCTTTCACAGGAAAATGAGAAACCAGGAAGGTTTTAGAAATGTTGTCCTGACTCACGAAACCCTCATTTTCCACACCCACCTGTGTCAACATATTCAGCTCCAGAGGAACTTCGAATGAGTTGAAACTTTTTTTTGCAAACTGTCACTTTCCTGTCCAACAAACAAGGCTTCGCATTCACATCTAAGGTGTTTCCTTCTCACTGCTCCTGAAACCTGAGGAGGTGGTGAGAAAGGTGTTCATCTAGATTCTTCATGTTGGTCATGAGTCCCCCTTTTGGTATAATCCTTAACTCATCCTACCAAATGGGTGGGGTGGAGAGTGGGGCTCAGGAACATAATTATCCCATTGAAAATGAAGTGAAATAAAAGAACATGATATATTCTTAATATTAGATACAGAAAATGGGCTTTTATATATTTATTTTGGGACAATGCTTACTTTGGGTTATGGTATCTAGTGATCTCATTTGCATGAATCTCACCAAGGGTTATTTCCACTTACATGAGTTATACACACAGTCCCTGGTGGATCAGGTAATATGTTGAGTCAATGACCTCATCAAAGTTAAAACTGCACCATTAATTGCAATGACAAAGTTATTAATAAATAGGTAAGGAGGACTTTATTCAAGACTATTGCAATAGAGGAGAGAGACTAAACTCGACTCCACTGAAACAAAGGGCTGGGGAGTTTTGAAGAGCTGGGGTGGAGGGAATAGTAGACCACCTGTATTTTCTAATTGTTCTTCACAATTGGAGTGAGGTGCCCACGGAAAGTCAGGAATGTATCCTACAGAGAATGGGGAGATGGGGGTATTACCTCCTTTAATGTTTTCATTTCAAAAAGATGGTTCCCAGCTGATTCAGAAAGGCATTTCCTGGGTTGTAAAATTAGCAAGAGGCTGGGAGAAGCTTTTTATATACAGAGCGTGCCAAAAAAATGTATACACGTTTGAAGAAAGGAAAAAGCTGTTTTAATATATAAGTATACTGAAAACAAAAGATGAATACGAGTCACGTTTGACTTCTGCAATTACAAAGGTGCTCAAAGTGGTTACCATCAGCATCCAGACATTTCTGATTACGGCGAACTACTGCTTGAGCAACATTGACCAAAGTGTTAATATCTCTTAAAATGTGTAAACATTGTTTTGGCACCTCCGGTATTGCAAAAAGGCAGAGTGAAAACTTATAAGTTTTCTAAGTCAATGCTCTAAGAAAAGAAAGGTCAGGGGTGAAACCCATCTAAAATTTAGTCACGCTGAAAGGAATGTTAAGGCATTCCTGCTGCTTGGGAAGAACCCTTAACCCCATCATATATAAACTTGGACATCTCATATGCCTGTATGACTACCTGCTTATGAATAGTTTGCTGAAATGAACTCATAAATGCTTCCTTTTAATACCCTTCACCAAGAGTATTTTCAGTGTTTAAGTCAATAAACATTTATGAAGCACCTATCCTGTGATAGACACCATTGTAGGTATGAACAGGGTGGAAATGTCTCCTAAATGAGACCTCGCAGCACTGAAGGAGATAGATGAGGACATGAACATTTTAAATATAATGGGTGAGTTCCTCAAAAAAGTTAAACATGGAGTTACCATATGACCCAACAATTCCACTCCTAGGTATCTACCCAACAGAAATGAAAACATGTCTACACAAAAACTTGCACAAGAATGTTCATAACTGCATTAGTCATAATAACCGAAAGGTAAAAACAAGCCCAATGTCCATCAACTGATAAATAAAATATAGTCTATCTGAGAATATTATTTAGCGTAAGGCATAAAGTACTGATGCATGCTACAACATGGATGAAGCTTGAACACAGTGTTTTAAATGAAAGAAGCCAGTCACAGTGGGCCACATATTGTATGTTTTCATGTAGATGGAATGTGTAGAATAGGCAAATCAGAAATAGAAAGCAGGTTAGAAGTTGCCTAGGGCTTTGGGTGTTGGGAGACATGGGGATTGACTGCTAATGGGTATGGAGTATTTTGTGGTGATGGTTTAGTATATTCACAAAACTATGGTTGTGGGAAAATGGAAAGAACACTGGATTTGACCTCAGGAGACCTGGTTTGAAGCCCACCAGTTTCATATACTTGATTTGTCCAATGACATGTCCTCTGAGCTTTCTCTTCTTTCTCTTTTCTCCACCTCACTAAATGATCTCACCATCCATCCACCCGGCTACCCAAACTGGAAACTTGGGAGTCATCTGAAATGCACACCTCCCAACCCCTCATTGCCCCTAGTTAATGTCTCATCAAGTCCTATTGATTCTATTTCTTCAGTCTTTGTAAATGCTCTGTCCTTTCCATTCCAGCCCCTCCTGCCTTTTGTCGACATCCTCTCTCACGTGGACTTTTGTAACAGCCTTCTCTCAGTCTCACCACTTGAGTCTAATCCCTCTCACCCTCCATATTAGTGGGAGGGGGCTATTTGTAAAAGAAATCCCACGTCACTTCTCTGCTCATTCAATGGTTCATTACTGTGTCACGATAGCAAACACATACATGTGTACAATGCTCTGTGCCCGACAGGTGCCATTCTAAGGACTTTGGATGCATTAACTTTATGTGATAGACGAAGGAATCAGGCACAGAGAGGTAAAATGACTTGCTCGAGGCAGTAAAGCTGCTTAAGTCCAGAGCGGCGATTAAACCCAGGGAGCCGGGCCAGGGGTCTGTGCTTATAGCCATCACACAAGGCTGTCTCACCAAGATGGAGGCCAAACTCCTTCCTGTGACCTAGGCCCTTTCTACCTCCAACTCCTCTGCCTCTGCTATGTTCTGGTATTACTGAGCTACCTAGAGTTTCTCAAAAGGGCCTCACTCCTCTGGGGTTTTGGACAATGCTTTCCATTCTAACTGGGCTCTGGAAACCCTTTCCTTCAAGACTCATCTTTGGGGATGAGCTGGAAAAGTTTGCCCAAAGCTGTTTAGTCAGTGACTAGCACAGGTGCCTGGCTTAAAACAGGTGTTCAGTAAATATCTGTGATTGAAATGAATGGAATTGAAAAAGGCAGCAAGGAGAATTAGGGTATCAAGGATGTCACAGGTAATTCACACACCTACTTTCTCACCCAGGAGCCCCATCAAAATCGCTGTCCTGTGGCCTTTCCCTCTCCCAGGTGACATCTAGTTAATCTGACAGATGAATCCTGTTGATGTGTCCTCACGTGTTGCTCCTCGTGGGCTGATCATGCAGAGCCCACCTCAGATAAGTGGGCTCAGCCAGTGTTGAAGGGGGAGCCCTGCGTGTGCTCCTGGCCACCAGGGGCCGGGACAGGTGTCAGTGGCACTTTCCTCCACTGGAAAGCAACCCATTTATTTTGTTTACTCTGCCTCCGTTGTTTTTCTGTCTTTAACATTCTTTTCTTGGCCAGTGGTCGAAGTATATGTGGGACGTCATCATGCAAGTCTAATGAAAGGGGAGCTTTGGGTGAGTGTGGGCTGTGTTCTAGGTCTAGTGATGGTCACCATTCGGGAAAGTCTAAACCATGTCCAAAGTCAACTCTTCAGCCGCTAACAAAGAATTGAGGATGGTTCATCATCGATGAGAATGTCAAGACCACATCTCCAAAGGGACTGTACTCCAATGGCCCCACAGAACTCTAATTCCACTGGTGTTCCCATTTCTGGGAACCCATTTCCTCCCCTACAAGGGGTGTGCCTTTGTCTCCTTCGAGAGAAGTACGCCCAGTTGAGGGGACTCTGCACACACTGTATGCTCCCCAACTCTGCAGAAGGAGGGTGGCTCTGCCTCTCTTCTTCAATGTCTTGAAAGGGCTCTGGGACCCCAAGTTTTAGCGTTTAGGTGTGGAACAGAAGATCTTCATGCAGGAATCAGATGCCTCGAATTTCCTCAAGAAGCGCAGGCAAAGGGGTCCCTGCTTTGCTTGACAGTGAGCATCGACTACAGATGTGTCAAGGTGAGGGGTGCTCTGGTTACCATCAGAATGGCCCACGTAGCCCCGACAGCATCAGCCTCATGGGGGTCTTCCTGCTTTTCTGGTTCTTCCTTGCCTGACACCTGAATCAAAGCCTCCCTGGAACCCTTCTTCCACCCACAGGCTTCAGTCTCCGGGACGACAGTCCCCAATTACAGATGCCAGGATCTCTTTGAAACTTGCATTGGTCCCTAGAACCCTAACTCTGAGGCTGGGCATTCCAATAGTAACTCCTTGGGTGCGGATCATGGAAAGGCCACTTCAAAACTGTCCTAGCCTGGGCCCTAACAACAGACTCTGCTTCTGTGAGGTTTGCTAGGCGCCAAAAACATCTCCGGTGTTCCAGCAGGAGCAGCCAATGGAAGCCTCGGCCGGGACCCCTCCCACTCCACCTCCCCAACCCCCCCAGTGGCATCCCAGCCTCCTGAATCTCTCCTCCCTCTCTCCTGGCCTGACTGACACAGAAGTGAGGACCCAGCAGCCTCACCGTCTGCAGAACCCTCTATCTGCCCTGTGGTTCCCAGACGGAGCCTCAGCCTCTCCAAAGATGGCCTGGAGACAGCTGCTTCTTGTCGCCTGTCTCTCGGCTGCTGTGCTCCTGTCCCGTGAGTATGGGGAGGCTCCAGGACGGAGTGGTGTTAGGTAAGGCCGTGCAGGTGGCCCAGGGAGAAAGGGGGATGCTTACGTGTAAGACAGGCGTGCTTGGTATGTGTAATATAAAACGACACAGAGAAAACAGCATTCCTGGGGAGAGCGTCTCTGGGCTGGTGTATGTGGGATTCAGGACCCCACCCCAGGGCCTGACATGTCACAGAGCCTGGGAAGGACTGTCCTGGACTGGCTGGGGGTGAGGGTCCCCTTGGGGTGCTTCAGCCCTCACTCTGTGCTCTCATCCCACAGTGCTGCGGGAGGGGACCAGCGCGTCAGTGGGCATCAGGCAGGGGGCCGGACAAGAGGCCCAGGAAGGTGAGTGCAGGGACCCGCCAGGGGTGCGGGGTGGGTGGCCGGCGCCTGTGGTCGCCTTGGTGAGCCCGTGCTGGTTGTCACCGGCCTCTCTTCGGGTTTAGGTGTGGAACAGAAGATTTTCATGCAGGAATCAGATGCCTCGAATTTCCTCAAGAAGCGCAGCAAGCGGTCCTCCAAATCCCGAGACGAGGTGAACGGTAAGGATGCTGCTGGCCCCGGTGGCTCCTTCTCTCCCAGTCAGCTGTACTGCAGGGGCTGCAAGGGTCCAAGGGCTCAGCCTAGGCCCTGGGGTACCAAAGGGACTGCAGCTGTGATTTAGAAACTCACTTCCTCGATGGCAGGTCACAGCTTTGACTACGCTGTCGGGATAAGGAACAAAAAGGGACAGTGCCACATGCACTCAACGCTGATGAGACATATCCTGATTTCAGGAAGCTGAAAACATCACGGGGGAAATCTACCATCTAGTGGAGAGGAACACCATATCTCAGTGTGGGCTTTTTGGGGTACTGCACAGTGAACCCTCAGATACAAGAGCAATAGCACTGCAAGCAGGGAGAGGACATGTGAGACTTGGAGCTGGAATTGTGGGTTTGGTGACAGCTTTGCTGCTAAGTGGCCTTGGCCATTTCCTCTCCCTGGGCCCAAGTTTCCTTGTTTACAAGCCCCTGAACGTGTGGTGTTCAGCCAGCAGTGGTTTTTTAGAGCTTTCATTCCCAATGCGTTTGGGAGGCTTTTGAGTTTGGAAGCAGGTCTTCTTCTCAGCCTGAAGTAGGTCCTGGTGTCCCCTGCCTGGCAGGGACCTTCATTTCCATGACCTGCCGACCCTGGAAGGCATTTGAGTTTTCTGTCCTTGAACTAGATTCTTCCAAGGACTCTGAGCACTGACTGTCTCTGAGTCTATGGCTTCATTCATTACTTGTGCGTGTGTCTCAATAAACTCTTTGTGCCGCTCAGCACACTCGGCAAGGTAACTTGCTCAGTAAAAATAGCAAGACTGTTTACAAATGATGGGGAAGAAGAGAGGGGAAAAATGCTGGGAGATAAAATCCCACCCCGCCTCCCCTTTTATAATTGGATACATATTAATAACACGGGGAACTATCCAGGCCTCACACAGCGTGGGATTTAAAAGTTAGCAAATGGTAAACACTGAAAAGATTGACGGAGGTGGGGCGGTTCTTGATAGAAATCACAGAAGCTACCTTCTGGCAGACTTTCTGTGGGGAACAGTTGCGAATTTAGGAGAGGCAAATAGTTTCCATCCTTGGAAGCTGAGCAGAACAATGAGACACGTGGCTAAGCCAAAGGTCCCTCACCTCAAACAGAAGCTCAGTGTGTCAGTCGTGGGGGTGGGGGTGAGGACCGGGGCGGTTCAGGACAGCATGGCGACTACCTAGGATGCACCTGAGTTCATCAGCTGTCACCTGGTCAGCTCTTGTGGATGGGCAGGAGAACAGTGCCCAATTATGTCTCAGATTAGGTAAAAGGCAAGCGACACTTTGATAAACTTGAATTTGGAACCAGGAAACAGGCATCTGATATCTCCCGGCTTGTGGGTAAAGATGCAGGTCACTTTAGGTGAAAGGAGCCATTAACCCGATGAAAGGCACGTTCCTGAGAAGGGATGGACACGATGCGCAGTGTAAAAACAGCATCTTGTCCCAGGAATTAAATTGTTCTTATTCACTGCTGAGTTAAAGGTTCAGTTTGTGGCACCTCGGAAAGGGCAGTTTGGGCAGATGGTTGCTTTTCTGGAGTACACAGGGATGGCAAATGCTTCTTTAGGAATTGGTGGTGGCTCCTTAAGCACCTGCTTCCTAGGGTCTAAGCCCCCTGTCCCCCACAGCAGCTTTCTGGTATCCGGGAGCACCACGGAGGCTTACGGCGGGTCGTAAGCGAGATGCTGCCACACAAGGTGTGTTGTATCCAGTAGTGGAATGTGGGTGCCTGGGGCTCTGGCTCCAGTTCCAGCTCTGCCTTGACCACGTGGCCTTGATCAGGTCATTGCCCCTCTCTGGGCCTGAATCCCCTCCTCAGAAATGTGTGGATGTGGGGCAAGGGGCGAGGCATGGGGAAGGACTGGAGTACCAATCCCTTCCGCCAGACTAAAGGTTCCTGCAACTCTATAGGTAAAGGCCCAGGTGTGGGAAAAACGTGGGATTTACCTAAGGAATCTGCACTGAGACCAAGTTGGATATCTTGGTTTTTCACCCAAGTTAAATAATAAAAGCATAATATCAATAACGAGCACTTAATTAATTTACTTATTCTGGAAAGCTTTCTTTCAAGGCGTTGAGATGGTTTACAGTATTACTGTTTTGCAAAGAAATACTACTTGTGGTTTCTCCCAGCATTCCTGCAGTGTTGTCTGGGCAGGAAACCAATGGCTTTCCTCCATGTCTCTGCTTCCATCGCCAACCCCCCACTTCCTCTTGCACGTGCAAGCCGGTGGGGGCAGCAGCACCTCCGTCTCCCCACTGTGAGGTGAGGGGCATCACACCTCACATCATGGGAGGGCGGTGTTCTGAGGGACCAGTTCTTCCTGCACCAGACATGGCCTTCCAGCTGTCATGGCTTTTTCCCAGCTGAAACCCAGTTAAAAGAAATATCTTGAAACTCAGAGAGCTTTAAGTAATTGCCACTGGACAACCACAGCTCTCACCCCAAAGCGGTCAATGGGAAGATTTAAGGGCAGAAATGGGTGAACTTGGAAACTACCTTATTTTACATCTAAAAATCTAAAATCTAGAGAGATTTTTCTTTCTGGGCTACATTAGAGCAGGTGGGGAGCAGCTGCACCTGCCGGTGAGGTGAGATGTGGTAGTTCAGGTGGGGCTTCCCTCTGGGGTGCAAGGAACTGCTGGCAGGCTTCACTGTTCAACCGCCAAGGAATGGTCACCAGATGGATGTGTTCTCAGCGACAGTTTTCACTGGGGGTATTTCTTCCAACCACAGAGGTGTACCTCCTATTTCATAATGTGGAACTAGGTTTCCTCATAAAAAGGTTTACAGCCAACTTGACGGGAGTGCACTGCCTTACAAAATAAGGGATACCTGCAGTTGGTATTTCCACCAGGAAGTTTGTTTGATATCCTGTACCAGTTATCTACTGCAGTGTAACAAATAATCCCCAAATTAGCAGCTTAAAACAAATGCCATCGTCTCAGTTGCTGGGGTCAGCAAGGTAGGCATGGCTTAGCTGGTAGCCTAAGGCTCAGGGTCTATCAACAGCCGAGGCTACAGGGATCTCAAAGCCTGACTGCGAGAAGATTCATTTTCAGGCTTATTCACATGGCTGTTGGCAAGCCTCAGGTCCTGCTAGTAGTGAAGGGCATCATTTCCTTACTACGAGTGGGCCTCTCCATAAGACAGCTTACAATATGGCGGGTGGCGGAGAGAGGGAGAAATGTGCAGGGGTGGGGGGAGAGGAGCCCCAAACGGAAGCCACAGTCTTATTCGTAACCTATCTGGGAAGTCACATCCCATCACTTTTGCCATATTCTGTTCATTAGCAACGATCACTAGGCCAATCCCACACAAGGGGAGGGAGTTACCCAAGGGCATGCATATCAGGGATCATCTTAGACCCCTAGCACATGTCATCACTGTGCCCTGTATAGATTTCTATCATAGCAGCCATAATGCTTCTTGGTAGAGGGACAGAATCTCTTTTACTTGCCTCTGCAATCCCAGTGCCTAGCATACATTATGGCTGTGATAGGTGCTCAAAGATGTTGAATGGACCCGAAGGCATTAATTAATGTGAAATGAACTTTAAGTTGGATTACTTCCTCATAGAACTCATTTCTGATCATCAGACTTCTAGTGTCTAAGTGGCCCAGTAGACTAGGCTACACTGTTAATTTTGTGAGTGATGCTAAATTGCTTCATATTTTGGGGTCCCAGTCTTCTAGCTTGCACAATGAGGCGGTTGGATGGAGAGACCCCATTCCTGGGTCCTTCAAGTTTGAAAGTCTACGTCAGGAGTAAACCATTTCAGTGAAGCCCGCATCCTTACAAACAACCTTCCCAACCAGATTAAGTTTCCTAGGCAAAAATGATCGGTGCTCCCCTAAATGTGTGCAGCTGCCTCTATGCTTGGGGACAACTCTTGTCTTTCCCCCTTTCCCAGCGGAGAACAGGCAGAAGCTGTGGGCTGATGAGCTGCGGAAAGAATATTATGAGGAACAACGGAACGAGTATGAGAACTTCGTGGAAGAGCAAAATGACGGTAAGAGCTCTTCAGCCAGCATCTTCTGGGAAGTGGGGATCAGTGGGAAAAATCACGACTTCCCTCCATTTCTTCTCCCTAAATTTTAATTAGAGGAAGAGAAGCTCTACTTGCATGTCTACAGGAGTCTTGAAAAGAAGGGAGAAAGTCATAAAATGGCCATAGGACTTGAGAAGGGATGGAAGAAGATAGTACCCCTCAATTACCATGGCTCAGGGACTGTGGGTTGGGGGAATTTGGGACTCACTGTATTTTCTCCTCCTACTTGGGAATCACTGTGGTGGCCTGTGTTCTCTTAGCGCCTACACTGGTCTGGTAGAGTTGGGCTGGGAGGACTTCAAACTGACTTCCAAGTGCCTTGCATTCCTATCATGGTAATAGCTGTAAGAACTATTCATCGCGGCAAACCAAGGCCTTCGCTCACCTGTTCACTAGAATCAGCATCTTATATGATGGGTGGAAGCAAAGCAGGAAAACTCAGGAGGCAACGGTCACTGGTGCCCTGCCTTGTACCTTTCCCACCTCCAACACCGACATTCACAGCTGATGTGAAGGCTCCAACTCACCCACAGCAGCGGATGCTTGCATGTTTCTACGTGGTGTGCTTGTGCCCTCACCCAGCTGCTGTTAGGTCTTCTTTGCAAAGCCATCACCTTTGCCTCAGTGTGTCTCACCAGGCAGTCAGCACACCATTTCCCTGCCCTCAGTCCTTGTGCAGACAGAGGTCCTGCCTCCTCCAGTTAATGCTGGTTTTGTCAAGGCCTCCGTGGAGGCAGCTGGGTGTTGTGGGCGTGAGTGTGGGGTAAAGGGAGGCTCTGGCTTTGCACTATAGCCTTCCACGGGGTTAAGTTTGACTTTGGACTAACCGGAGGTTCATTTTAATGGGAATCGGATCGGAGGCCTTCGTGGGTTTGTTGATTGTCCCTTCTTTTTCGGGTTTTTTTCCAACTTTCAAGACGAAAATGCTTCTGAGTTAGCTCCTTATGTGCATGAGCTTGGATATAAGAACATTAGGTGACCTTTGTTAGAGGTCAGTGATTTCAATTCTGAAGTTGTCACCTCCTGGCCTGTTTGCTGTGCTTTTGATTTGGGATTTGCTGTGGATTTGGGAGGTAACACTCTTAGGGGATTTCTTAATGAAAGAATACGATCACCAGGTGCCCGAGGGCTGCAAGCCATGCCCACTGCCCTGACGACAGGTGTCGGGCTTGGATCCCAGCAAACCAAACGTTCCTGGGAACACTCTTGAAACAGCTCAGGCTCTTGTAACTCAGAGGCAAATACTTCTGCTGGAGATTTGTTTACCTTGGTGGACAGCCTGGGGAGAGGCATTTAAAAAATGGAAATGTGGCCTCCAAAATTCCTTCAAAGTTTTTTTTTTTAAAACTCAATATTAATAACAGCGTATTTTGTGTCTTTTGTTTCAAGTCCAACTCTCTAGCATCTGGGTGGAAAACAGTCACTGTTTTTCCTTTCATGATGAATTAGGATGAGTGGCTAGGCACCTCAGGGATGGCAGGTCCTCCACCAAAGCCAGAGGAGACGAATGTCAGGGACCTCCGGCCTTGCCCACAAAGAGGAAGACACAGCAAGGAAGGCACAGGCCTTCAGGGACTGTAGTGATTGCATCTGTTGTCACTGACGAGCACTTGCTCCAGCAAGCACTGGACTGAACCACCTAATCCTTACGACCAGCCTCTGAGGTTTTACAATTTCCATTTTACAGTTTCAAAAACAGCCTTAGAAAGGATATGTGAATACCCAAAGGTGACACAGCTACTAAAGGCATCTGAACTTAGCCACCAAAGCTCATGTTCTTGTAAATGAAGGATGATCAAATGTGTAGAGGTCCTGGAGATCTCTGATGCAGGAACAGACCCCTGAGGGGGGAATAAGGAGGGTAAAGCAGAGGGGGCCCACCGGGGGATCTCCCCAAAGCTTGCGCTTGAAAGAGGCAGAGAGGTGGAGCAGGCCCAGCTGGCCTGAGGATAAATGTTGATAAAGGAGAAACATTTCAATTTTCTCCTCTTCCCTTGCCTGTGCCCCAGGACACTGGCTGTGCCCAGTGCCCAGGCTGCCGGAAACCGCCACCACAGGCAGCGCGGAGCCCTCCTCTGAGGCCCCCACTCTCACCCCGTCAGGAGTCTGGTTTCAGTTGCTGTCTCACAATGTCACCTACTCTCTGAATAACTGAGAGCACTTGGAGGTTTGTCCTCTTCGTGAAATTCTTGCTTCAAAAAAGCGAATGCTGAGGGATTACCACGGGTGACCAGACGGACTTGGATTTCCAAAGGAGGAATTTTAGGCAGGTGGTCTGGAGAGAGATTTCTGGACAAGAGTGATTCTCCCAAGGGCCTTAAAATCGCACCCCAAAGGCCTCTGTATCAACCCACCCAGGACCCTGGTCCCGGCCTGGGGAAGGGGGCCGGGGAGGACTGGTTAGAGCCTCACTGGGCTCTGCCATGGCTGGTTGCAACTCTGCTCAAAGCCACCAGCGTCACATGGCGAAAGTAACTTTGGCTTGTGCCTCCAAAGGCTCCAGGATAAACAGCCTGCCGAGCTGCCACCTCTAAGGCCTGCGTGGTAGCATAGGTCTGCTTCTGCTTTCAAAGCCAGAAGCCTGGGTCAAGCTTTCAGAGGGTGGCTGCATGGAAAGGCTGTCTGGCTACAAGGGGTACCCTACACCAAAGCCACGCTGTCAGGGCCTCCGGGCTTTACCAGGGCAGCCTCCCCTTTGTCTAAGTGAAAAGGTCTAAGAAGAGTCTAGCATGGCCTAGGGGGAAAAGTCAACACGTGTGTCACAGTCATGCTCTCAAGATGGGCAAAAAGTAGCTGGTCTACCCGGCCTGAGAAACATATGAATGGCCAACATCGAACACCCAAAGCTGCAGCCTAAGGCTGACTGAGCTCCAGGCTGTACCGGGGGTACCAAGTCCCTATGGGGATTTTCAGCACCAAGGTTAGCACCGATTCGAAGCTCACACAGAAGGAGCCATTACAGGTTGCCACAGCGCCTCAACACCCAGTGGTAACCAGGGACCTTTCCTGCTGAGGGCATCTGGCTCTTACAGGACACCCATTTCTTCCTTACTCTGAAGCCACGAGGAAATTCTGTTAGCCCAGTGCCACACAGGATGTATTTCACCAGCACTAAACTTGGGTTCACAGGTTTTTTGATCCTTGATATTATCTTCATCTGTTAGGAATTTCCACCTTCCCAGAATTTTTCAGATACTTAAAAAAAAATTATGGTAAAATATGCATAACACAAAATGTGCCATCTTATTAGCTAATTGTAAGTGTACAATTCAGTGGCATTTAGTACAGGCGCAATGTTGTGTAACCATCACACTGTGCCTTTCGTCACCTCAAACAGAAACTCTGTACCCATTATGCAATAACTCCATTCTCCAGCCCCTGGTAACCTCTAATAGATTTTGTCTATGAATTTGCCTTTTCTGGGTATTTCACAGAATTGGAATCACGCAATGTTTGTCTTTTTGTGTCTGGCGTATTTCACTTAGCATGCTTCAAAGTTCATTCGTGTTGTACGTATCAGGTAATTCCTTTTTATCGCTGAATAATACACACGCACACACACACAGAGCTCACATTTTGTCTTTTTTCTATTCATTTGGTCCTGTCTTCAGTTCTTTTAGGTATATACCTGAGAATGGAACTGTAGGCCTATATGGTAATTCTGTTTAACTTTTTGAGGAGCCACATGGATGCTTTTTAAACATTTAAGGCCTCGTGGTATCTGCTCGAGGTTTGATGGTACCTAGCAATACCAGGCAGTCTTGAACCGCCATCAGGACCCTGATTCTACAATTGCACAAAGGTGTTCTTCAGAAACATGTCTTATCAAAGACAGTAAAATCGGGACTTTCTTCCTCATTGAAAACTCCATTCTGATCTCTTTAGCCTTTTACTATGAAAAACTTCAAATACATGTAAAAGTATATAGGAAAATGAACCTCCATAAAA